CATGCTGTCGTGCATCCTACATAAAATAGAGGAAGATTGGCACAGATGTTAGCTCAAGGCCAATCTTCCTCATGAAAAAAACAAAAAAAAAACCCCAAAAACCAACCAAACAAACATGGGCCGGCCGGGTGATGCAGCGGTTAAGTGTGCACGTTCCACTTTGACAGCCAGGGTTCACCGGTTCGAATCCTGGATGTGGACATGGCACCACTTGGCAAACCATGCTGTGGTAGGCATCCCACATGTAAAGTAGAGGAAGATGGGCACAGATGTTAGCTCAGGGCCAGTCTTCCTCAGCAAAAAGAGGAGGATTGGTGGCAGATGTTAGCTCTAGGCTAATCTTCCTCAAAAAAAAAAAAAAAAAAAAGAGATGACCATTTCATCTAATCTTTCACATCCTCCTTGCCCAGAGAAATCCTTCATAAATACTTGCCAAAAAAGTGAATCAATGAAATAGCTTTAGAATATATATCCCCACTAAAAATATTTGCCTACGAAAATATCATAGCGCAATGTAAGATGTAATCCTGCTTTCCCCTTACCCTGTGTTTAAACTGTTTCTCCACCTTGAATATTCTCCCTTTCATCCATATTACATCTTACCCATTCTTTAAATCTCACAAAAAATGTCTCTTCAAGTGTTTCTTGATTCATTCCAGCTAAAGATATTTGTACTCTTCTTTTGATAATTAATCACCAATCACAGCCCACCTTATGTTTTAATTTCTGTACATTATTTCATTAGATACTTAATTGATGCCTCTCGGAGGACAGGCAATAGGCCTCAGGTGTCTTTATATTTATTCCTTGTAGGTTTAGACCCGTGTTCTGCCTAGAGTAGGGGATGAATAATTTGCTGTTAAGTCACGTTGAATTATTTGGCGACAATATCCAGATTTAGGCACATTTTGGGCTATCGCTGCAGTCTCCTAGCTCAGCTGCCTGCCCCCGCTTCCTCCTTCATATTGCCGCCCAAGTTATTTTTGTGCATTTTAGTTGAGATTGGTATCCGTGGCCTCAGAATAAAATCCCAGCCTTGGGAACTCAAGGCCCTCTATGACCTGGTCCTGGGCTACACTTCTATGCCCATGCTGGGCCTCATCCTCCACCTGTAGCGTGTTCTGGTCATGCTGGATCGCTGGTCCAGAATGGTTCATATCAGGCCTGTGTTTAATGCTATTGCCTTAGGCTGGAACGTACTTCTTACTCCTGCTGGTGATGCTGCTTTTCTTATCCTTCAGGTCGCGGGCAAAACTCTTTTGGGTTGTTATTGTCACCTCAAGGGACTGCAAGCTGCTCCTTAGCTGTGATGCCAAAAATTAGATAAACCTCATCTCCTTGCCATTGACAAAAATGTAGAAAATGGTTTTCTAAAGTTGTCGAAAGGCAGCTAAGCCAGTCCCTGGGAATCTCTGTACATGTCAAATTCACGGTTTAATAGTGGCGATGCCGCCCTATAAAGTCAGACTAACTCCTTCTTTGGCTGTAATTTGGGGCTAACATAGGAAAACAAAGTTAGAACTAGGATATGGCCTGGCACAGGGTAGGCACCTCCTAGTCTCTATTCTGTCCAAATGCACAATGCATCCCCATCCGCAACATCTCTCATGACACAGAGAAATGCTCTTTACTCTCCAACCCCACAAGGTGAGAATCACCGTCATAAATGATCAACTACTGTGGTAAAGCCAACCAACCACCAACCAACCAACCAATCAGCCTACCAATCTACCCTCTCCCAAACTTGTTTCCTATGCAATTCTGGGTGATCACTTCAAGCCATCTCATTGTGCTCCCTGTGCTCACAGGACAGCTAATACACATTTCTTTTACCTTTTTCAGAGGGACTGGATGAAATTATCATATTTCAAAATGCTCCTGGGTTTAAAATATAGGAAAAACGAAATATTATCAGAATGAAAGGACTGTGGGTCCTAAATGCATGAACTCTGAGAAACTGGAACATGAAGTGATATTTATTTGTGGAGGTATGTGGTTTCTAATCTTAAATCTATTCCAGTTTGTTCCACACTAGAGAACACTGAGAAATACCACCTGAGTAAAGCCTGTGCTTTTAGCAGCCTCGAAAAAGCCAAAACTCTTATTTTTTGTTACTATAATCTGGCTTCTCCTTCTATTAAAGTTATAAAGAACATGCCTAGTAAGAGACATTTATTTTTTGCCGAGGGAAGAAGCTTTGCAGATATTTTCAGACAGTGGAGCCAGTGGGGCTTTTAAAAACCTTGTCCTTATTTCCTTGTGCATTTGTAGATATTTCTTGTTTTGCCCAAATTTGTTCCTAAGACCTTTTCATAGTTATTGATTCATTCAACAATTATTTATGCAGCTCCCATTGTGTGCCAGGCATGGTGCTAAGTGTGGGGATTCAGCAGTGAGCAGTGAGAGAGGGTCGTCAAATCATGGCATCAACAAACTAGGGAGGGAAGACAGAGAATTATCAAATATTCATACAAATTAGCAAGAACTCCAGTAAGCACTCCAAATGAGAGAACTTGACACTATCAGAATATCTAAAAAGGGATCTGACCTAGGGTAAGAGGTCAGGGAAGGCTTCCCTGAGGAAGTGACAATTGCACTGATTTATAAATGATGAGTAAGAGCTAAAATTACAGTCCGTGCAGAGGGACCATCACGTGCAAAGGCCCTGTGGGACCAGTGGTATGGAACCTATGAGGGAATGGAAGTAGGCCAGCATGGCTGGTAGAGAGAGCTGGGGGAAACGTGATGGAGACAAGGTTGGAGTGGAGGGAGGGGCCGAGCTGTGCAGGTGTTAGACCATATTAGGCATATTGCCTTTATCCTAATTGTTTGGGGAACTTGTCAAGGGTTTACAGGCAACAGGAGACAAGATTGAGTTTATGTCTTAAAGGACCTCTAGAGCTAAAAAGCAGGGAACATACTGGAGAGGGGAAGAGTGAGTGAGGGTAGAAGTGTTGAGACTTTTGCAGTCATCCAGCCATCAGATGGTGGCGTCTGTGACCAGGGTGGTGAGGGAACGCAGGCTGGAGACTTGAGGCAAAATAAATAGGCGTTGGTGACAAATTAGATATATGGCATGACTCCTGGGTTTCTCTGCTGGCCAAAACCTTTTCAAATTCAGGCCTGCGTAGACCTGACCCAGTTATTCTCCACAGAAACCTCTCCTGCAACGACCTTCAGAATTCATTTATTCAACCACTACTTATGGGGCACCTATTGTGTATTATTCTGGCTGCTGGTGACACCGGAGCTGGTGCCTGTTGGTGCCAGAAAGTCTGGTCAAGTTAGTACAAGCACAATGAAAAAAGTAATTAAACTATGGGAGGTCAACTTCTCTTTCGGCAAATCAGAACAAACGCTTTTATTTATTTTTTAGTGCTTGACAATTTCTCGAGCCCCTTACTACCTCCCAGGAGCCGGTGGGACAGCAGGAAGGTGTCAATTGAGAAGGCAGGGAAGAAGAGGACTCCCAAGGTCACAAAGCTATGAGAAATCACTACAGGGGCTCAGCTTTTCAAATCCAAGATGAGGGCTCCCCCTTTGTAAAATTAAAACCATAATCAGAGGTCATCAAAAAAGCAAGCTGCTGGGGAAGAGTATTCCTTTTCTAAAAAGCCAGTTTGAAGAGTAATAGATTCAAGGCCTCTCTCCCTCAACTAGGAAAAGAGCACATTTCTAGATTAGGCGTAAAAGACAAAAATGTGCTTCTTGTGCCGTCCTCATTATCTAAAGTCACATCACCAGCTTCTTTCTTGGCCAAATGAAGGCAGGAGATTCAGGAAACCTCTGCTTTTGTATTGATCCATCATGGAAGTGAACAACCTCAGGTATGGATCTTGGAAGCTCCTTCTGGTACTCTGTGGGGCAACTTGGAACCCAGGGGAAAAAATGGTAGGCCTACATTCACTTTATTTGGATTCTTTTTTCATTTTGGGGGCTCTGTCTCCAATACATTATTTTACTTCTCATTATTTAGCTGGTCTTTAACAGATACTTATGAAGGGCTTTAGGCCAATGTTCTGTTTTCCTTAATAATAAGCTTGATTTTTACAAGGTTATATTAGAAAGCTTGACTTCAAGGTGGTTCTAAGGATGTGATCTGACTTCCTTTGACCTACAAAAGCATTCCAGTGAAAGGAGCATGTCTTCCTTGCAACTCTGATTTCCCAGTTCTGAGGACTGTCAATTCTCACTAAAGAGGCACATGAACTATGATGCCTATTCCTTACCAGAAAGGAGACGTTTTCCCTTGTGTCTGCGATATTTCCAATCACCAAGAAAAACAAAAAACAAAAAACCCCACCCATATTTGGCCAAATAGTCAGTGACATTATTTATCAAAATAAATTTATTAAAAGTATTCAAAGACCACTTCAAAGTATAGCTGCCTTCCGGACAGTTTTTGGCACTCATAACGGACACTGTAGTTTTCTGCATAACAGCACTCATTCTATTACACACACCATTTAACAATTCAAACACAGACCGTTTCAGGTTTAGCGTTACAGGAGACAACGGTACTGACAATCCGGAGTCCAAAGAACTTCAACACCCTTGCACATAGTCAACATTTTAATCTTACTTGGTACTAAACTAAAACTAAAACCACTACGTGGTAACATGGACTGGTTTTGGGAAAGATGTACAGCCAGCTAGGTAAGGCCACATGATCCCAGAGCTATTGATTTTAAATGCTTTTGGACCAACACTATTACATTGCATCTTTTGGTCTCACAGTCCTGCTTTTCCAGTGTGGGACACGCCACATGTAGGCCTCTCTCTCCCTGTGCTCTCTACAGACATGGAAGCTGTACCAATACAAGCTTCTTCGAGAAGGCTCCCAGCCTCCTGATTCACTACCCAGCTTTGAATCAATAGTTCTGAGTGATGCTTCCTCAACACCCAGGCTGAATTCAAGGTCAGTTTTTTTGGCAGGTCACAACTTTTCCCCTTAGGAAAAAAATGGAAAAGTCCTCCACTTTCAGGGTCCCGTTTCCATCTCATGTAGCATGGGGCTCTGTGGTGATCTGCGGCTTTTTACACAAGTCCTGGTAGAATTCTGACTCCAAGAAACGAGGGTAAGAGTTGTTCTCCATCAAGCTGTATACCCTTTTCTGGGCAGTTGTAAAGCAGCCACTTGTCACCTCTTGTATATTTTGGGCAATTAGAGTTTTGGTTTGAAAGTCTATGTTTATCTGAAATAAAACAAGAAACTGGTTTATTCCACATTCAGAGTCAGAGACTGAAATTTATTTAGTATTTGAAAACGAAAACCAAAAACTATAATGTGCAGTTAGCCTCCCCAGCCCAAATCATTGAAGAAACCTAACTTAAATGAAAGCTAGAATGAGGGGAAAGTATATTTTTACCTCCACCCCTGCCCCGCTCTTAACGTGCTGTCTCTTCCTTTGTTTCACTTTGGTGCTAAGAACGTTCAAAATATGCTGAAATGAGGAACTTTTTCTCCTTACCTCTTTTGGAGCTTCTTTTTCTATGAAGTCAGTGTATATTTTCCTTGCTTTTGAGGAGAGCTTTTGGGGTGACTTCGTCTTCTTGAAGTCTTCACAGGCCAGCCAGAATTCAATATTTTCTTCACAGAATTCAGATTTCAAAAAAGCTCTGAAAGCAGCAAGGCCATCTGAAAGGAAGCGGGTGGGGGAGAGAAAGGATGCAGAACATGAAGAACTGAGAGACCAAACCATCCTTTCTCTTTTTTCCTAGAACTCCTCCTCTGCCACACCCGTACTTTATTATTTCTAGATGGTGAGCAATTTTCTAGACTTCCCTCAAACGTGTAATCCTCCGACTTTAGCTCTTACAGACCAAGAGGCCAGTAGGCAAAATACTTAAGTTGGCACACAGCTAGAAAAATATAAATACTTAACTTGGCCGTCAATGCAAATATTTATAGGGGAGTCACAAGTTCTCTGGGAACAAAGCCTCTTGCCAACAGTGTATGCAATGGAAAAGCTGTCCCAATCTTAACAAAGACCGACTGCCAGTGTAATCTTTTTAGGTTAATTTTTCTTCCCACCGGAGTGAAAAAACCACACATTTCCGTGGTTAGACACTGGGAAGTAAAAGATGAAACTAGGCCTTATGCTACAGTGATTGTAAATTCGAATTCCCCTTGGGAAAGCCGCTCTTCTGCTGTGTGGACACCACCTTTCCAGACTCTTGCGATATTCGAAATGGATCCGATTCAAGAGGAGAACTTACATTTACTGGCTAGCAGCTCGTCAAAGGCTTCAGACCACAGCTCTGCTTCTTCGGGAGAAGGCCTGCAAGAGAGGTTCCGCACATTAGCTTACGCACAGCACAGCCGCTCATCCGGGCTCAGCAGGCCAGCTGTTCATCTTTGCAACGACAAGATTTTCGACTTACTTGAGGAAGGCCTGCTGCTTGCTTTTCTTGCCAGTTTTGGGCTTCCCAGGGGAGGAGGAATTTTGCAAGAAGTAGCTCAAACGCGTCTTCCAATCTTTTAATCTTAAAAAAAAAAAAAAGATATTCACTAAGTGGCAGCACTTGACGTCGCCAAGGGAGCTGAAGGCATTTTTACCAAATAAAGTCGCCCTGTAGCTGCAGACAAACCAAATAAGACAAAACAAGAACCCTTCAAGTCAGTCTTATTCATTTAACGTTTCAACCCAGCACGTCTGTCCTGAAAACAGCTTCATCCGTTCATCTCAACATAATTACTAGTTTCATAACTAGGGGTAGGAATGCCTCAAATTGTTAGGGTATTTTAATGAATTTAGATTGCATAGTTCCAAAGGCAGATGCTATTTCTGGCTCACAAAGGGCGGCAGTTTTTCTGCAACTTAATTACAGTTCTGAGACATTTCACACTTGATAAAACCGCAGTGGAACTGCCTTGAGCCAGACGATGGTCATTTACCTTCTACCCTTGGAGCAAGAGGCTCTGGACCACGCCAGAAGCTGTGAACAATGCGGCGCGCGTGTGTGTGTCTGCCTCCTCCCACGGCCCAACTACAACACTCATTGTTGTGAACAATGCGGCATCTCTGTGTGTGTGTCTGCCCCATCCCAGGGCCCGACCACAACACTCATTTCAAGCAGATGATGCACAACGATTATTGTTCCACCGTCGCGAGTGGATGAGATCTGCTTTTCAACTAAAAAACAAAACTGGATTTCAAAAGAATATATCCAACACTAGCAAAAACATCTCCATCGCAGCAGCTGTGTAAGCTGATCAGAACTTAGCATGCAACGCACGAATGCAGCGGACGCGCTTCAGCCGCAGGCTTCTCTGATGTCATTTCAATGCAGGGGGACAAAAAGCCAGCCCGCAATTTCTTCGCGCATCTACCACCGCCTCCCTATCAAGAATTTTCTGCAGTTCCTAAACTAGCCCAGAGTCCTTCGCTCACCTAACAAAATAAGGGCACATTACAGTGATTTAACCTTACTTAGCAAATGAACCTTTTCCACTTGTTTTTTCCTGCAGAGGCGCAGACTACAGAGTTCCCAATGGCAAAGCCGAGCGCGAATGCACGGGGTTTGCAGCCCCCCCTGGGGGAGCTGGGTCGGCAGCGGGGCGCGGGAGAGAGAAGAAGGCCGTACTCACAAGGTCCGCTTCATTTTCTCCCGCTTCTCCTCGCTCTTGGGGCCACTGCCTGCGCTCTTGTCCATGGGGCCGCAGTCGTGCTGGACAGCCAGGAACATGGCACTTTGCATACTAGGCTCTGCGCTCGCGCCGCTCGGGTCTGCGGTCGGGCGCGCGCCGCCGCCTTTATAAGAGACGGAGGCGCGGGGGCGGGGCCTTACGGCGCAGGTCCCGCCTCCAGAGGGCGCCTATTGGCCGGCTGAACCCACTCGGGCATAGGGGCGGGGTCAGCGCTGGCCTGCGCAGTCCCGGGTACCGCCGAAGGGTCTCGAAGCGAGGGCGCTGCTGACGTCTGCGGTCCTGGAGTCGTGCGCACTCGGAGCGGACAGAGGTTTCGCTGTGTGTCGCCGCGGGCGACCTCTCCTGGGCGGGGCGGCCCGGCGCTCGGCAGGGAGAGGAGCCGAAGTGGGCGGCTCCCCTCCGCCTCCCCTGCCCTCCCCCACGCGCACGTGCAGCCGACCCCAGAAAGTGATGACTCCCCGCGGGGAACGGTGGGTTGCTGCGCGCCCGAGTGCAATCACCTTCCTTTGAATTAAGATTTGCCCCCACGTTTTGGGGGGCGCGCGCCCTCTCCCCACGCCTCAATGCTACGTCTGCAAATTGGGGGACCCTCACCTGTTCCTTTGTGCGACTCCGTTTAATTTGGGGACGGAAACGGTGACCGGGAGGAACAGGGTTGGTGCAGGGGTGAGTGCTGTGACTTACTCTGCAGCTCGCCTGGGCGTTTGGGAACGCTTTTGGTTGATGAACATTAGTCAGGGAAGGACCAGGAGAAAGTGACTTTCTCAGACAACACGGTGTGCATTTTTGATCACCAGTAAGCACGTGGCTGGGTCTGTCCGTGGGGTTGCAGGCTTAGTCCTCAGGAGTCCTTGCCTGCCTCTCCTTGCAGAACAGAAATCACAGATCTTTTTCTGAGATAGAGGGAAAAAGCGAGACCTCGCAGCTGTACAGCACAGGTTCGAGTGTAAACGTGCAAGGATGTCGGATTTCCTCTGAGTCATTCTTGGTTGGCTTAGAATTTACCAGAACTCTTCACTGGCAAAAGGGGGGAGGTGGGAAGTTAACAATTTGCTTGAGTAAATTTAATTTATTTTTTCAGAAATTTTCTGCTGTAGCAGGCTTTAAATGGTCTGATTGGTAAGCACAAATAGATAACCTCAACTACAAAATGGTTTGATTTCAGATAACGTTATTAAAACTGCAGTGCAATATTCAAGTGCTTTCCCCATCAAGCATCTAAGTAGACAATAAGATTAACAGCAAGGTGTTGATTGGGCTGCAAATCTTCTGCTTTGCATTTTAACTGTTAAAAGAAAACTGGAGCTGGTTTAACATTCTTAGGGTGAGCTGCCAGTAGTTGGAGCTCCAGGTTTGACTTGAAGAGTAAAATCTGCAGTTATTACTAAAGAGGACAGCCATGTGCTTTATCATGGAAACAGAAAATCACGTTGATTTCAGTAATCATACTTTAAATATGCTTGTGACATGTAAGAATGTCGTTTTTCTCAAGCATATGCTCATGTCTAAAAGAACTTTGCGTATTTCCAGATCTATTTTCACTTTCTGATGATTCCATACTTATTAAATATGTGTAATATGCAGACGCTTGCTTTTTCTTGCCGATGTAAACCTCAATCGTATTTTTCACTTGCAACCTTGGATGGTAAAATTCTCTCATTGTGGAAAGGCCAGGAGTTCTGACAGGCAGCAAGGAGAGAGAGCTGGGCTTGTGTCAGGAGACCTAAATAGAGTCTGAGGTTAACCGGTGATTACTAGGTAAACTGTTGGACCTGCCCGGTCACACCATCTTGAGGCCCAGTTTGTCACCTGTATTAAGAGTAATGTGTTTTTCTTGCCAACCTCGATAGATATTATGTGAATATTCTGTGAAAGGCCTTTATAAATTTGAAAGTACAATACAAAAGTTTATTATTATTAATTTGCATATATGTGAAGAGGAAAATATCTGGAAGCATAGCTGTTACAGACAGGAAAATCATTAAAGTATTAACTCAGAGTTAATTAGGTTATAAATCTGTAAGTACTATTAAAATATCAACATGAGGTCAAGAGGTTTGCAGAATATTAAGCTCATAATAGGAATGGACAGGAAATAAGGATAAGGAAAATAAGCAAACTGTTTGACATTTAAACTTTTCAGAAATTTCCAAGCCAGAAAAATTCAGTCATCTTAATGTATTTGCGAAAGTGGATATATACACATCTATGTAAGCAACTGGTTTACATATAGACTATTCTTGGGGCCAGCCTGGTGGCATAGTGGTTAAGTTCGTGCACTCTCCTTCAGCTGTCCGGGGTTCACAGTTTCAGATCCTAGGCACAGACCTACACAATCCTTATCAAGCCATGCTGTGGCAGGCATCCCACAAATAAAATAGAGGAAGATGGGCACAGGTGTTAGCTCAGGGCCAGTCTTCCTCAGCAGAAAGAGGAGATGTTAGTTTAGGGCTAATCTTCCTTACCAAATATATATATATATATAGAGAGAGAGAGAGAGAGAGAGATAGAGAGACTATTCTAGATGTTTTTGTAAGTCTGATTATTTGCTTTTTTCATAAGCCATTTCCAATTAACACCTAAGTGGCAGAAAGTTAATTTTTTCATGAAAATTATGAGGTTGATAAATCTGAATGTAAACTTATCATTTCTGTGTCTGTGGGTAATTTTAAGAGTTAAGGCGATATGTACTATAGACTTGAGAAATCTTTTCATCCAAAAGTTGCCATTTTACTGTCTTTTAGGAAGACAGGGAGACGTAAAAGCCAAGCTACAATGTCTGATGACTTTTCTTTGTTTTTTTTGTTGCAACTGGCTTTTAGGTAAATGGGATTGCTCAATGTTAAGATGACACATATTTTCCATTCCGTGGTGGAGGAAGAAACAATGCAATGCGTTATAAATACTGCACAGCAAAACCACAGCTGGAGAATGGCTTGCTAAACTAACCATACATTTTCCATGTTGAATCTGCTACGCCCTCTACTGGAGAAGCTCTCTGAATTTAGTGGTGGAGGTTCTTAGCGTGGTTCTTGAACTTTCTGTATTTAAAAGATTTTTAAGTTAACTGAAGAAGGAAAAAAAAAATACAAGTTTCTAGCAATATCAAAGGGGGAGTATGAAAAGCTAATGCCTTCCCTGCCGGACTTCTCTCTTCCCCTCCAACTGTGTGCCATTATTAACCAAAAATTATTAATTATTATTAGCTAAAAATATTTATACGTAGTTTTCATCTATACTTTAGAAATTTAGGAAACAAGATACATGCTTTAGAAAACACACAAAAGGACCATTCTGTGTATTACGCCGCGCTTTGCTTTTTTTGGTCAGTAAGAGATCTTACTTCCTAAATTTGTGAAAGCTGTAAACCTGTTGCTTACCTCGTGAAATCTTACATGGGTAGTAAGTTGAAAACAGGGAAAGAAAACTAGGAAATTAAACACCATGTGGCAAAGGATGTGATGAGTAATTGGAAAAAATGAAAACTTCTACTATGGTCAAATTGTTGACCATATTTGAGGAAGTGACACTTGTCTTTTCCTCCTTCCTTTCTTCTGGTTTCACCTTTCTTTCTTTCTCTCTCTCTCCCTCCCTCCCTCCTTCCCTTCCTCTCGCTTAACTTTAGCTGGTGAAATACTATTTTAACAGAATGAACATATGACCCCACAAGATTCTGTACTCCACTCTTCACTCCTAATATGACCTGAGATTTAAAAATCGTAATTACTGTGTTCCTTAGAGTGTAATTTGCATATGCAGAAGCTGATAAAAAAGAAAGTGTTTTTGTCAGGAATGAATCAGAGTTTCAGCCTGATACTTGACATGTCTTACGGAGGAGTTAGTAATTTTCCCAGTCCTTGTGTTGGTAACTCTGGTTAGATTCTTCCGTGGTTCTGCCTTCACCTCATCCATGGTGTGGAGTATGTCGTACTTCAGATGCGGGCAGCGCCTCATAAATGTAATAACCCCCTTTCCTAAAGGAAAGACAGGGCTTCTGAACCAACAACAGGAGCATCACAAAGATTTTTTTTCCAAATAAAAGCTAACGTATATTTAAATACCTCTAATAGGTTTCTGTAGTTAAAGGACCCATAGCATGAAGTCTAAGCTAGGGGATTGCTGTCTTCTGTGACATTGGGCTATACAAAACCTCAGGAAGGGTAGGTGATGATAAATACTTTCTTATAACATAAATTACATAGATGGCATAATGTCTACAAGGTGCAGAGGTAAAGCTAGGAATTTCTTTCCTGGCCCTGGCCTTTCTTCTGCCTATGATTTTAATTTCTGTGCACAGAATTTTGTCAAATCATTAGGGTGGCAAATATCCTATTGCCTACTTTTTTGAAATTTTGGGATATTGAGTTCATACTATACAAGATTTCAAAGGTCTATATATGATGTCAATCACTGAGAGTCTGTCCTTTTTTTCTTTTTCTTTTCTTTTTTCTTTGAGGAAGATTGGCCCTGAGCTAACATCTATGCCCAACTTCTTCTACTTTATATGTGGGATGTCTGCCAGGGTGTGGCTTGATAGGTGGTGCATAGGTCCATGCCCAGGATCCAAACCCTAGAACCCCAGGCTGCTGGAGTACGCAAACTTAACCACTATGCCACTGGGCCAACCCCCTTTTGTTCTTTTTTTTTTTTTTTTTAAGGAAGATAAACCCTGAGCTAACATCTGCTGCGAATCCTCCTCTTTTTTTTTTCTTTTTGCTGAGGAAGACTGGCCCTGAGCTAACATCTCTGCCCATCTTCCTCTACTTTATATGTGGGATGCTCACCACAGCATGGCTTGCCATGCAGTGCCATGTCTGCACCCGGGATCTTAACCAGAGAACCACCGGGCCAGCCCCTCTTTTTTTAAGTGTGGAGAAGGGCTGCCTTTCATTTAGTAAATAAGGAATCTCTTTGCAAAGAGATTTACAAAGGTCTTTGATCCGTGGACTACTTTGTAAGCCTAAGGCCTTGTGGATTTTCTCTCCCAAACACATTTTTTAGACAAAACAATTTCCTAAATCTTAACCAAATTAATTAGAAAAAGAACAGT